GCTACTCCTGCTCCATATACAAGGCGCTCCTATGCCCTTTCCACTCACCCACGATATATGGCTAGTCTAGGAGCCCGGTCTGAGCCCACTTTGGTAAACAAGAGTCTATCCATTGGCCTCACGAGGCTTTTGATGAGGGCCCTAGGATCTATAAACATTTCATTATTGCATCGTGCTAAATCCAAACATCCGAGCTCACCCTGCGCCATAAAGGGGGAAGCATGTGTCAAGCAGCTCTTGTTTTTCTGAGGGAGGCAAACACACAACTATGTAATGCCGTCGTATTGTGCCAGGATCTCCCTCATCCCAGGTACAGCAGGCCTCTTGGCTACGTAACAGGAGATCTGATGCGAAGGTAGAAACATGATGGCTCAATTCAGTGAAAGCGGCCTCGAGACAATACATTGCAGAGGAACTGGGACAAGAATGAAGGAATTCTCTTGCTTTGCACGGAGCAACTGGGCACACTGTCAGTTGTTATTCCTCCCATGATTACTTTGCATTTATACAGCAGTGCCTACAGACTCCAACCAAGATCGGGGCCCCATTGTGCTAACTGCGGTGCAGATGTTGGTGCCAAAAGTTTAGCGTATGTATAGCCAAGACGAAGGATGGGAGAAAGGAAGCCAGATTATCCCTTTTTTTCAAGCTAGGTATTGAGGCAGAGAGAGATTAAGAGTGAAACCTTGGCTCCACTGAAGTCCATGTCACCCCCCCAGTGAACTGAGTTCTGTGGTCCAGTGGCTAGGACTTTATTTGCTTGTTCTCATAACATAGGAACTAGGGGACACCAAATGAAATGAATAGGTAGCAGGTTTAAAACAAAGAAAAGGACGTTGCTCTTCATGCAGTGCACAGTCAACCTGTGGAACTCCTTGCCAGAGGATGTTGTGAAGACCAGGACTTTAACAGGGTTAAAAAAAGAACTAGATAAATTCATGGAGGATAGGTCCATCCATGGCTATTAGGACGGGCAGGAACGGTGTCCCTAGCCTCTGTCAGAGGCTGGGAATGGGGGACAGGAAAGGGATCACTTGGGCTACGTCTACACTGCAGGCTTTTTGTGCAAGAACAATTGTTCCTGCTCAAAAAGCTTGCGGAGTGTCTACACTGCACGCGCGTTCTTGCACAAGTAAATATACAGTAGAGTGTCGGAACAGAAGGCTTCTTGTGCAAAAGTTATTCCTCTCCCCACGAGGAATAAGAGCTCTTGCGGAAGAAGGCAGGGTGGACAGGCAACAAGGGTTTCTTGTGCAAGAAACCTCTACAGCTAAAATGGCCATCAGAGCTTTCTTGAGCAAGAGAGCATTCATGCTGCCATGGACGCTCTTGCGCAAAAGCATGTGGCAGCGTGGACTCGCTCTTGTGCAAGAACTGTTCCACAAAACAGTTCTTGCGCAGGAAGCCTGCAGTGTAGACGTAGCCTTGATGTTTACCTGTTCTGTTCACTCCCTTTGGGGCACATGGCATTGGCCACTGTTGGAAGACAGGGTACTGGGCTAGATAGACCGTTAATCTGACCCAGGCTCTCTAGACTGCAGAGTTCTATTGGAAAAAAGATACGCAAATTACTAACCGCAATTTGCGTATCTTTTTCCACTTTTTGTGTATTGTCTTCTGTCCTGTGTCAGGCCCCATAATCTCCCATCTTGTGTTCCTGAGGGGAGGAAGCAAGTGGGTGGAGCAGGGGTGGGAAGGAACCAGGCTTGGGGTAAGGGGTGGAGTGTGGGTGGGATGGATCAGAGGCAAGGCTGGGCCAGAGACTGTGGTGGGGGGTTTGTCCTGACCCCCATACAAGGGGGGGGGAGTTCCCCAGGCCCTGCACCCCCCCCCCCAGGGATGGCCGTGGATGTGGATTGGGAGCAGCGGGGCTAGGGGCTGGGAGTGGCAGCAGGGACTAGGGGCGATGGGGGCAGTGAGTCCAGGGCTGAAGCCCTGTGGCTGGGCTCTATACCCTGCCTGCCGAAGGGTTGAAACCAAAAGCCTGAGCCCCACTGCCCCTCGCTTATGGCTTCCGAAGGGCGTAGGGCCCAACTCTGGCTGGAAGCTGTAGGGCAGGGACCATGCTTTGCTCCTTGGGGAGAGGCTGTGGATGCAAGAAAAGTCCCTGGTGGCCACATTTGAGAACCATGGCATGAGGGTTTGCTAGAGACAGGTCTGGGACTCTGATGGAGTTTTCTTTCTAAGGTTAGGTCCAGGAACACAAAAACCTGGCTCCAAAGTCACTCTGAGAAATGCCCTTGGAGCTTCCCTCCTGGTATTCATTACAACTACAACAAAGGCTTGTATTGCTTCCTACAAGGGGGGGTGGTTAGTGGATCAGTAGCACGTCTTGCTGGGGTTCTAAAAAAACCCCAAAGGGCATTGTCAAAGGCCAAAGAAGATGGAGTCCCCGTTCCTGGATGTTATAAACTAGCAAGCCCCAGAATGAGGCTTCAAGTACAAAAGGTCAGATATTAATAGGAACCAGAGATCTCGCCAATGCAAAACATGTGTAGTTACAATAAAGCCTAGCCTCCCCTCCCCCAAACTACACTGAGGTTATTCCTACTCACTGGACAGGGCTATTCTGGCTCAGAGGCACTGTGCTCTCAAATTGTGTCCAACCATGTACAGAATAAATTTTACTATGTGCACTGAGGCACAAGCAGATGCGCAGCACCAGCAGAACCACATGCTGCTGCCTGTGGGTGCTCTGCTCATCAGCTGGGGCAGTATTTGAATCTCTCCTGGGCGGCTACCCAAGTGCTCAGCTTACAGGGAATGCTGTTGTATGGAGATACACCTATCTCATAGAACTGGAAAGGACCTTGGAGATCATCAAGTCCAGTCCAGTCTAGTCCCCTGCCCTCATGGCAGAACTAAGTACCATCCCTGGCAGATTTGCCCCAGATCCCTAAACAGCCCCCTCAAGGATTGAACTCACAATCCTGGGTTTAGCAGGCCAATGCTCAAACCACCGAGCTATCCCTTCCCCAAGATAAAAACATAGTGAAGGGCTGGTGGTCTGTTTGAATTCCCACTGGCACTAGGAGGAACAAAGGGGGATGCTAGACTTGCACCAGGGCTACATCTAGACTGGCATGATTTTCCACAAATGCTTTTAACGGAAAAGTTTTTAACGGAAAAGAGCATCTAGATTGGCATGGACGCTTTTCCGCAAAAGCACTTTTTGCAGAAAAGCATCCGTGCCAATCTAGACGCGCTTTTGTGCAAAAAAGCCCCGATCGCCATTTCTGCCATGAGGGCTTTTTTGTGCAAAACAGTTTTCAGCTGTCTACACTGGCCCTTTTGCACAAACGCTTTTGCGCAAAAGGACTTTTGCCCGAACGGGAGCAGCATAGTATTTCCGCAAGAAGCACTGCTTTCAGACAATAGGAAGTCAGTGTTCTTGTGGAAATTCAAGCTGCCAATGTAGACACCTGGCAAGTTTTTCCGGAAAAGCGGCTGATTTTCTGGAAAAACTGGCCAGTCTAGACACAGCCCAGATGTTTGGTTGAAACCACTTGCTTTATGGCAACTCATAAAGGCGAAGAGAGCATGGGGGTATTGCTTCTTTGTTTCACACTGGGGTTGCAGAACAGTAACCAGAGGGTAACTCCCCAAAAGGGGTACAGGCGGGGGGTGTCTTAGTTTAGAGTTGTGTAGCTGAGATGGGCAAGGGAAAAAATATAGCTTCAAACCACTGCTCTGTTCCTCTGCTCCTGGGTCATCCAAGGCCAACACTGCCCTTAGGGGCACCTCTACGCTCGACAGGTTGTTAGCATCCATGCAGCTGGCAGGACTCATCACAAGAAAAAAAACAGTTTCCTTGCTCAAAGGGAAGTCATTGCACTGCAGATTTTACTGAAAATGGCAAGAAATGCTGCCTGGGTTGGAGTGTGTGTGTGTGTGGGGGGGGGGGGGTTTCTGTAGGGAGAATTTCGCTGCTCTGGGCACAGATGAATGAACCCAAAGGGCTGGTATCTTCGCTAAGCCATTAGAGGGGGAGGCCAATGCATTCAGACAGCAGTTAGACTTATGGTGCATACTCTAGCACAAACTTCTTTAATCCATTATATAGCTAAGCCCCCCCCCCACCAGCCCAGAGACTGACGCCTACCTCGTTGGCACTGAACTATGGTTCTGGTGCCCATCACAATCACCTCCACCAATAGGCAGGGCTGCATCTTTATATTCATACAGGCAGTCCTCAAATAGAGCTAGAAAAGATGGTTAATTAAGCTAATTCTCATCATTGACATAGGAACAGCAGCAACATTAGCCATAACATCCTTGTTCAGCAGTAGAAGGCCAGGATTGTTCCAAGGGTTAAAAAAGAGATGTGTATCTTTTATATGAAGCATGACCTTTGTCTTTGGCTACATGCGGTTCTTTCGAAAATGGGCCAGGGAGACGGGGAGCAAAGCAGAGTAAAGCCGTCTGGGCTGTCCGCTGCCTGCGTGTTCCGTCGCTTTGCTCTGCTTTGCTCCCCGTCCTCCTGGTCTGCAGACCAGAAGGACGGGGAGCAAAGCGGCGGAACATGCGGGCAGCTGACAGCCCAGAGCGGCGCTACAGGACCAACCGGCAGCGCCCCAGATGCTCTGCCCCAGGCGTCCTGATTCAGCCACTGCTGGTCAGTTTCAGCAGCGGCTGAATCAGAACGCCTGGGGCAGAGCAGCGTGGGTGCTGCTGAATCTGGACGCCAGTTCTGACTTACATACAGATTCAACTTAAGAACAAACCTACAGTCCCTATCTTGTACGTAACCCGGGGACTGCCTGTACTAAGTTATTCATTTTTGGTATTATGTCGTTGTCTTGGTTCATGGGGGTAGGAGGAAAACAAGCCACGAAGGCACATGCTGGAATCGTTAGCTGCAGTGTCCAATACATCCTTTGATTTCTATGAGCGAGTACCACATTGCCAAACCCAAAGGGTCTCATGTTTCTAATCCCTTCCATTCTCTGTACCATGACCCACACTACAACGGGGCGCCTTTTAAAATGGGGACCACTTACAGTGTGTTGAGGTTCTTCAGTCTCCTGAAGGCTCCAGGCTGAATCTCTTGGATGTGATTGAAGCGTAAGTCCCTGAAAGGAAGACGAGTATCAGTCAGTGCACATCTGAGAGCGAGATTATCTATGAGCAACAAACCTCATCCGCTCTCCTGGTGCTTTAGACCTCAGAAGCTTCAGGCTGAAAGGAGCTTGGCAAATTATGCCAGCTGAAGAATCCTTTCTGGGATGATAGGGTGGCTACTGCTGTTTGCTGAGACAGTCTTAGCCAACCAGCATCCAGTGCATGGCCCTAGATTCACAGAATCATAGAACTGGAAGAGACCTTAGAAGGTCATCAAGTCCAGCCCCCTGCCTTAGGCAGGACCGATCCCAACTAAATCAACCCGGCCAGGGCTTTGTCAAGCCGAGACTTAAAAATCTCTAGGGATGGAGACTCCACTACATCCCTAGGTAACCCATTCCAGTGCTTCACCAATCTCCTAGTGAAATACATTGTTCCTAATATCCAACCTGGACCTCTCCCACCACAACTTGAGACCATTGTTCCTTGTTCTGCCATCTGTCACTACTGAGAACAGCCTTTCTCCAGCTTCTTGGAACCTCCCTTCAGGAAGTTGAAGGCTGCTATCAAATCCCCCCTCACTCTTCTGCAGTCTAAACAGACCCAGCTCCCTCAGTCTCTCCGTGTAGGTCATATGTTCCAGCCCCCTCATCATTTTGATTGCTCTCCGCTGGACCCTCTCCAATGCATCCACATCCTTTCTATAGTGGGGGGCCCAGAACTGGACACAATACTCCAGATTGAGGAGTTCCACCTTCATTTCTTTAGAAACGGACACATGGTTGCCACTTTTTGAAAGGAATCGGGTGATCCATTGCACTGGGTTGCAAGACAATTCTTGTGATTGATCGTGAGTGGATAATGTTTCGCAATTACCAAACTTGTATGCGCAAAACTTAGAATCCTAGGGCTGGAAGAGACCTCAGGAGTCATCGAGTCCAACCCCCTGCTCAAAGCAGGAGCAACCCCAACTCAATCATCCCAGTCAGGGCTTTGTCAAGCCAGGACTTAAACACCTCTAGGGATGGAGATTCCACCCCCTCCCTAGGGAACCCATCCCAGTGCTTCCCCACCCTCCTTGGGAAATAGTTTTTCCTAATATCCAACCTAGACCTCCCCCACTGTAACTTGAGACCATTGCTCCTTGTTCTGCCATCTGTCACCACTGAGAACAGCCTCTGTCCATCCTCTTTGGAACCTCCCTTCAGGAAGTTGAAGGCTGCTATCAAATCCCCCCTCGCTCTTCTCTTCTGCAGACTAAACAAACCCAAATCCCTCAGCCTCTCCTCGTAGGTCATGTGCTCCAGCCCCCTCATCATTTGGTTGCCCTCCACTAGACCCTCTCGAATGCATCCACATCCTTTCTATAGTGGGGGGCTCAGAAGTGGATGCAATACTCCAGTGTCGAATAAAGGTGAATAGTCACTTCTCTGGATCTGCTGGCAATGCATTTCCTAATATACCCTATATGCCATTAGCACAGTTGAGTAACTGATAAGAATTCATGAGGTTAACTGACTATTCAGTTAACCGATATTTGACATCCCTACTTAGTAGCCAGAATGCAGGTAGGTCTGTATTTTTATAGACCGATAACAAGGATTCAGTATTTCCAAATGGGCATTGAGGCCCAGTTTCCAGCTGCAGGTGCACAGAGGCACACACATGAAATCCTATATAGGCATGTAGATGTCTGCACTGGTGCATGAACTTTCTTTGCAAATGTAATGCCAAGAGGCGGAATTGAACCTGGGCCCTCTGAAGCTTAGTGCATTAGCCGTGAGCTAAAAGTGAGCCTCTTAGCTAAGGCTGCAGAGCACACTTATTCTTCTGTTTCTGTAAGTGGTCTACGTTCCACTTCATGGGGCAGCCAACCACAGCCAGAATGTGTGTGAGTTACGCTGCCTGAAATGGAGCTGCACATGCTGCTGTATGCAGGTACCCACAGAGTTTATGGACACTTTTACAAAAGCTCACACTCAAAATTTTGGCCCTAAAATGGCCAAATCCTGCTCAATAGCCTTATATAGTCAGCATTTCAAATTTGCTCCAAAATGCTGCAGGACTCAGAGTCTTCTCCCATTCTGCATTTTCTGTTAGTGCCTTTTCATTTACAGGTGTCAAAGTCTGTTCCGGCAAACTTCAAGGGCTCTCTCTGTACCTGCACTGACTTGGACTCTAAGACATTATTATCTAATAAGCAATCACAAATGCAGAGTAAGAGCTAAGTAAACAAGAAGAAACAATTCTCCCTTCATTATACAATGTACTATAGCAATTTTTTTTTTACTGTTGCAAAAAGGAAGGTCTTAAAGATTTGTTTACACTATGTGAAATTGGCAGGGTTTTTTTAACTTTCTGTCTGAAGCAGATGAAGGTGAAGATTTTGATTTTATTCTATTTGAATAATAAATTATGGAAACACTCCAGTTGCTTCATAAATAAAAGTTGCATTGAATTTGGAATGTATTGGAGACCTTTTTTTTAATTTCAGAGAGTGGAGAAAGCCACTGGAAGGAGGCTGTTCTAGAGTTGATTTTAACAAATAGAGAGGAATTGTTTGAGAATTTGAAAGTAGAAGGTATGTTTCTAAGAAATGGTAGGAGGGAGAACAGCAAAATAAAGATGATGGATTTCAAGAAGGCAGACTTTTGCAAACTCAGGGTATTGATAGGTAAAGTCCCATGGGAAGCAAGACTAAGAGGAAAAACAACTGAAGACAGTTGTCAGTTTTTCAAAGGGACATTATTCAGGGAGTAAGAGCAAATTATTCCCCTGCTTTGAAAAGATAGGCACTATTGCAAGAGACCACTCTAGCTTAACCATTACTCAATAAAGAGGGAAAAACCAATAACAGAAAATGTGGAAATGGCAGAGCGGCTTAATGGCTTTGTTTGGGTTTTTATGAAGAAGGTTGGTGGTGATTGGATGCCTAGCATAATGAATGCTGGACAAAATTAGGTAGGTTCAGAAGTTAAAATAGGAAAAGAATGTTAAAATTTACTTAGACAAGTTAGTTGTCTTCAAGTCACCAGGGTGGGGTAAAATGCATCCTAAGTACTCGAGGAACTGATCGAGGAGGTATCTGAGCTTTTAGCTATCATCTTTGAAAAACTTAAAAACAATGAATAGTCTAACAAAAAGACTAAGGGTATGTCTAAAATAACAGCCGTTATTTCGAAATAACTTTCCTAGAGTCTACACAAGCCAACTGCTATTTCGAAATAAATTCGAAATAGCGGAGGGCTTATTTTGAAAATGGTAAACCTCATTCCACGAGGAATAGCGCCAATTTTGAAATTGCTATTTCAAAATCAGGGCTGTGTAGATGCTTATTGCAAAATAGGGAGCCTCCAGCCCTTCCCAGGGTGCCCTGCTGGCTGCCCTGGCCACAAAGTAACTTCTGACCTGATGCCCTGCTGGAACCAGTTCTGGCTGGCCTTAAATGCAATTCAGTGTCCAATCAGTGTGGACGTGCTATTTCGAAATAGCAAAAAGCTATTTTGAAATGCATTTTGTGTGTAGATGCGTTATTTCAAAATTAGATATTTCGAAATAATGCTGTAGCGTAGACATACCCTAAGAAAACATGTAGATGGTATCATGAGCTTTTGTGGGCAAAACTCACTTCTTTGTTGTTTTTTAAGTTTTTCCAGTTATAGACTAACTCGGCTACCCCTCTAAATCTTTGAAAAGTCATGGAAGACAGGAGAAATTCCAGAAGACTTAAAAAGGGCAAATCTAGTGCCCATCTATGAAAAGGGAAATAAGGACAACCCAGGAAACTACAGACCAGTCAGCTATTAACATCTGTGCTAGGGAAGATATTGGAGCAAGTAATTAAGGAATCCATTTGGAAACATCTGGAAGATAATAAGGTGATAAGTAACAGTCAGCATGGATTTGTCAAGAACAAATAGTGTCAAACCAACCTGACAGCTTTCTTTGGGCATGTCTACACTAGGAAATTATTTCAAAATAACTTATTTCAAAATAACTCCCAAAATAACTATTTCAAAATAGTGCGTCCACATTACAGGGAAGCCTCAAAATTAGCTCAAAGCAGGCTCCCGTAATGTGGACGTGCTACCTCAACTTAGAGCCCCAGGAAGCATTGGGGAATAATTACTTTGAATGTCTCTGGGGAGTCAAGGTACCATCTACATTTTTTGTTAGTCCTTAAAGTGCTACCAGACTATTTGCTGTTTTAAAGTTTTTCCTGTTGCAGACTAACTCGGCTACCCCCTCTGAAACTTCTGGGGAGTAGTTATTTCAAAATAGCAGCAGAGGTGCGCCCACACTATGCTATTTTGAAATAACTGTTTTGAAATAAGTGTTATTCCTCATGCAAAGCAGGAGTTATTTTTTCAAAATGACCAGCTCATTATTTCAAAATAACTGTCTTGGGGGTGTGAATGCTCTGCTTGTTATTTTGAAATAAAGGGAGTTTTTTTCAAAATAACTCCCTAGTGTAGACCAGGGCTTTGTGGCTAAGGGGCAAGCAGTAGAGCTGGTAATAGTAAAGTATTTGATATAGTCTCACATGACCTTATAACCTGGATAACTACAACCTAGATGGGACTACCATCCGGTGGGTGCATAACCAGTTGGATAACCATTCCAAGACAGCAGTTATCAATGATTCAGTCATGCTGGAAGGGCATAACTAGTGGGGCTCTGCAGGGATCAGTTTTGGAACCCGTTCTGTTCAATATCTTCATCAACGGTTTAGATAATGACATAGAGATTATGCTTATAAAGTTTGCAGAGGAGACTAAGCTGGGAGGGGTTGCAAGTGCTTTGGCAAATAAGGGAATAATTCAAAATGATCTGAATAAACTTGAAAAATGGTTTGAGGTAAATAGGATGAAATTCAGTAAGGACAAATGCAAAGTACTCCATTAGGAAGAAAACAAATTCCGTTTCACACATACAGAATGGGAAGCAATTGTCTAGGACGGAGTACTGCAGAAAGGGATTTAGGGGTCATAGTGGACCACAACTTAGGTAT